GGAGGATTCAGGAGCATTTATCAAAGACCCTTCAATGCCTTGATGAATTGTATGTCAGAGTGTGTTTGGCTAACAGCTCTAGAGTGAATATGACTTTTAACATCACTTGTAAACCAAATTCATAATGGCTCTTGCCTATTCCCTTATCCAACAGGTCAGACTGATCTAGCAGTTCTACCATATGGCTGTGACCCTTAAAAACATCAGTTAGCTACATTTCTTCCTACCCTGATGATTTCTATTTCCTCTTGCACTTTGCCCAGATGCAGTCTGCTCTCGAAGCTGGAAATGCTGCCTCTTCCCATCTGTTGCAACATTTGTCCAGCTTGATCGTGATGGCTTTACCATCACTCCTAGCATTAATCATGCTGTGCAGCAGCTTGCCAGATGTTTTCAGGAGTGTGTCCCTGCATCATCCAGGTGTATTTCCAATGAGACAGAGTCTCCACCGTGTTTTGCATTAATTCTGACCTCTCCTCTTGAAAGGAATCTTCTTCCCTGTAGCCACAGTACTTGACCTACTTGGTCATCACCTGTGAGTTCTGGGGCACCCTGTGTCACCGGTACCTGAGACACAGCAACCATAAATGTATAAAGAGTATGGCCAAAGGTAAAAGGCTTAGGAAAGTCAAGCTTCTGGATCAAACTGAGAAACAAGAACACCTTTCTATGCAGCTTTGTCCTCTCCTAACTCTTGATAAGAAGCGTGATAAATAAAATAATAAAACAGGTTAGCTGGAATCCAAAGGCGTTCTGGTGAAGGCTGTCAGCATCCCATTTGGGTCCATGCAAGGAATCCTGATATGGGGAAAGGTAACTCACACCACCACAAGTCATGCGGGATGTGTAACAAAGTCCCTCCAGCAGAAGGGAGCTGGGTGGAAAACACAGGACCTTGACTGACTCGACAGACAAGTCAGACTCTTCCAGTGATAGGATCTAAAAGAGATGGGATCCAGGAATCAGTGAAGGGAGGGTAACGCAAGGAAGAAGATGTAGGCTACTTAGTGGTTAGGTTTCCTGAACCCACTGAAGCAAGTGAAGCACCATCCCACACTTGTGTGGTCAGGTGCAAGGAAAGTGATGCTCCCCACCCTCTCTGTGTGAACATCTGCTAGTATTCATCAAGAAATTTAGTGGGCCTGGTCAGAATCCCAGAATGGGTAAGGGTGGAAGGGACTACCACTGGAGTAATCTGGTCTCAACCCCTCTCCTCAAGCAGAGTCATCCCAAAGATATGGCACAGGATTGCCTCCAGATGGTTCTGGAATATCTGCAGTGAGGGAGACGCCACAACCTCTCTGGGCAATCTGCTCCAGTGCTCAGACACCTGCACAGTAAAGAAGTTCTTCCTTTGTTCAGGTGGAACTTCCTGTGTTCCAGTTTTTGCCCGTTGTCTCATGTCTTCTTGGCACCACCAAGAACAGGAGCCTGGCTCCTTCCTCTGACACCCAGCCTGCAGACACTCATAGACATTGATGAGGTCCCCTCTCAGACATCTCTTACCAAGCCTGAACAGGCCCAGCTCCCTCAGCCTTTCCTCATGAGGCACTTCCTCACCTAATAATCTTCATACCCCTTTGCTAGACCTGCTCCAGGAGCTCCATGTCTCTCTTGGATGGAAGAGCCCAGAACTGGACACAGCACTCCAGATTCCTCTCACCAGAGCTGAGTGGAGCCTCACCTCCCTTGCTCTGCTGGCAATGCTCCGCCTAATGCATCCCAGGACACCACTTGGACACCAGGAAGAACTGCTGGGTCATGGGGAGCTTCTTGTCCACCAGCACCCCCAGGTCCTTCTCTGAAGAGCTGCTCACCAGCAGGTCAGCCCCCAACCTGTGCTGGTACACAGGGTTATTTTTCCACACATGTAGGACTCTGCATTTGCCTTTGCTGAATTTTAGAAGGTTCCTCTCTGCCCATCTCTCCAACCTGTCCTTCCACAGGGCTGCACAACACTGGAGTACTGGCCACTCCTCCCAGCTTGGTGTCATCAATGAACATGATGAGGAAGCATCTACCCTTCATCCAAGTCATTGATGAGTAAGTTAAACAAGGATGGGCCTGGTACTGAACCTTGTGGGACACCACCAGTGACAGGCTTTCAGCCAGACCCTGTGCCACTGACTATGATCCTCTGGGATCTGCTGTTCAGCCAGTTCCCAATCCGCCTCACTGTCCACTCATTCAGTCCACACTTCCTAAGTTTGTCTATGAGGATCTTGTGAGAGAGAGTATTGAAAGCCTTGCTGAGGTTGAGGTAGACAATATCCCCTGCTCTGCCCTCATCCATGCAGGCAGTTGTCTCATGGTAGAAGACAATCATGTTGGGCAACCATAATTTGTCTTTAGTGAAGTCAAGCCCACTCTCCTGATCACCTTCCCGTATTCCACATGCTTAGAGAAAACCTCCAGAATGAAGTGCTCCATCAGTTTGGATTGAGGTGAGGCTGACTGGTTTGCTGGGTCCTCCTTCTTGGCCTCTTTGAAGAGTGGGGTGACATTTGCTTTCTTCCAGGCCTCAGGCCCCTCTCCTGATGTCAGACTCTTCAAAGATGACTGCTGTGGTGTTCACCAGCTCCTCAGCACTGTGGATGCATCCCTACAAGGGCCATGGATTTGTGGATATCCCATTTCCCTAGGGGATCTCTAACCCTGTCCAAGGGAGAATCTTCCTTCCAACATTCCTGAGGGGTAAGAAGCTGATGAACCAGTCTGCCTAAATATTCAGTGAGAAGACCTTACTGCCAGCCCAGAGATACAATCCTAAAAGGATGGTCTTGGGCAAATGTTCAAGAGGTCAGCACTCAGCAGCCACAGTCCTGAGCTGAATGCTGGCAGAGGGACTGCCCAGATGCATCCTGCCATGGAACCCCACCCAGTCTGTGCTCAGACTGTTCTTGGGTATAAAACGCTCACATTAATGCACCGACACTGAGCTAGACAGGACTTTATATTGCTTCTTGAGCAGGCACTGCCGAGAGGTGTCCTGGAACAGAGGTGACTCTAGGGACTCAAGAAGCAACACAGCACTGTGCAGTTCCTGGACATCACAGTTCCAGCATGTGGAGAAAAGCAGGCTCGATACTCCCCAAAGAAGGAAAAGGAGCACACAGAGAAGAACTCAGTAGATGGAGGGACCACATCTCATTTCAGCATCAAAAATGTGGGGTCACCACAGCTAGACAGGTAGGTGGCCCAGATAACACCAGCGGTCTTGGGCTGTGCTTCCCATACCGAGGAATTGCTGAGGCAAAGGATCCATGCCGCATATCCTGCCAGAGAGATCTTGGAGGCCGTCAGACTGGTGGGGGAACAGAGCCCCTTGCTGGTGATACAATTCACCAGGGAACAGCATCTTGCACACGTGGGGGGCAGCAATTTTGGTTTCACTGCAAACAGAGTCCTGGCAGGCAGTGTGGGACCAGGGTCACCGTGTGTCCTGGGACATGGGTGTCTGTCACCTGCTGCTCCTCTGGGCAATGACTGCTCGAGGCAGAGATGTCAGTCCTCCTGTGCTTCATGCCTGAAATCTCTCAGGATATCTACTCTGCAGTCTTGTGGGTTCCCTAAGCAGTACCAAGGCAAAGGTATGCATGTCCTGGATTATGCATGGGGGAAGCCAGAAGTTGTCAGCCACTCACAGAACTCTCCTCAGGAGAAAGAGAAGAAAACACTGCAAAGATGCCTACAGGAAAGGGGATTTGCATGAAACTGAAGATCCTCCAGACAGGATAGGAAGTAATCCCTGATCTACTGTGTGTGTGAGTCATCATCACTTGAAAGTAGAAAACTGAAATAGCAAAATATTTTCTCTGGCTTCAGCTCTTTTAGGTAGAAAAATAGAGGGAAGAGGGAAAGAAACGGAAACAATTGAACAAGGTGGCATAGAGGTGAGGGCCACAGCAGGCACTGAGGCACGCACCTCCCATCTACCCACACACCCACAGGCAGCCAGGGCTTCTGCTGCTTCCCAGCACCCTGCTGCTCCCGTGAAACACTTTCCCAACCTCCTGCAAGAAGTGAAGACAGCAGTCAGGAGCCGCAGCAGACCACAGCCTGAGGAACTGCCATTCCCCAGCACCAACAGTGCTCCACCTGCTCCCTTATTTCCTGCTCAATTCTTCTGCCATTTGCAGGGACTCGCCTCCCTGCCTGCTCCAACCAGCTCAATCCCTGCTGAAATGCCAACACATGGGGCAGGCACGGGCAGAGCACCTCACCCTGCCTGAACACGGACACTGTGCTGCGGTGCATGGATGCCACAGCGCTCCCAGCTCAAGCACCCAGCAGCATCAGCCAGCCAGGCCACAGCTACAGAGAGACTCTTGCATCCCTCAGCCCCCATTTTATCTTCCATACCTAATCTCAGTGATGATCCAAAAACTCTACTGCCATGTACTTTCTCTTCCCTTCAGTACCTTTAGTGGGAAGCATTTTTTCTCCAGAGCTTCACCTGCCTTGGCTGTGCAGGCTGTGTCCACTTCTCAGTGACCACACTGCCCTTCAGATCACACTGCCTCTCTGGAGGCTGCTCACTCCCTCCTGCCACCCTGCAGGCCCCAGCCTCCCATCACCAGAGGAGCAGGTGCTGCAGCCAGCCAGGAAAATGCCACAGGCGATGGTGGGACAGGGGACCCCTCACTGTGGTTACACTGAGGTGGGATATGGAACTGAGGGCAGGCAGGAAGGTGCTCTGGCTGCCCTGGTGTGGCAGAAGAGGCCAGGAAACAGGAAGAGGTTCACAAGCCAGGATCAGTTCCATTTTCAATCCTTCAGCCTCTGCATTGGTGACACTCCAGGTTGAAAACAAGGCAGCCCATGCAGCACCAGTGCCTGCTGAGGGCCAGTGGCTCTCAGAACAGGGATCTCACTGCTGTCCCACCTGGGATTGCCACGGGGAGACCCACTGATGCGGGTTTGGGGTCTGATGGACACAGCCCCGCCTCAAGGCACGCGTCGCCAGCGGCAGCACAGGGAGAGCCCACACCCAGGCGAGCTGTAGAAAAGGAAATTGTCCCATTTAATGACCTCGCCCCCGTAACACAGACGTGAGCGCATCGCCGACGGGCGGCAAAGCAAAGTGCACAGTGAGCGGGACTCGGCCCCCGCCCTGGAGAAGGCGTGGGAGGGCTCGGGGTGCCCGGCACGGCGTGGGCACCAGCCAGGCGCCCGGCCAGCAGCAAGGACAGGGAGAGCCCCGGGCTCGGTCCAGTTGGCACCAGTGTCAGGTCCAGTTTGCAGGGAGGTACGGCTCTCGTTCGGCTCCGTGCAGTGCAGGGAGGGCAGGGGCAGGTCAAGAGTACCAGGACGGAGGCCAGAGGAGGTGGGTCTGGGGGCGCCTGGGAACAGGTCCTGCAGAACGCCACCATGGCAGGTTTGGAGCCTCCCTGCCCGAACCACAGTTTAACCAAAGCAGGGAAAGGGAATAGAGAAGGGGCTGAAGGCAGAGCAGCCCAGGCAAGGGCCTTCGGGTCTATCTAGCTATTCCCATTTGCAAGGTATCCGGTGAGGGGGTGTGTGGGATCTGCCAAGCACCCCGAAACGGGAGTGAGCCTGGGCGACAGACGTTTACCAGCAGTTCCACGTCCCTGACAGTCTCTCCCAGGTGTGACTCAGGCAACCCCGTGCCAGGAAGGGGGTCCGAGGGAGCCGGGCCTCCCCTCATTATCTGATGGAAGCATCGCTGGGGGGATCACGGTCAGATTCCTCGCTCTCCTCATTCGGGGCTGACTCGCTGTTGGAGGTCGGGGTGAAGGCAGGAGACTTTCTGCAGAGAACAGTAAAGGGCAGCAGTCACAGCATCGCCCAGCGGGAGGGAAAGGACTCACTTTGGTGTGGGCAGGGGTCACCAGAGCAAGGACAGAAACTGAAGTGCCCCTTAGGGCATGTGTGTGTCTGCAGGAATCCCTGGGTGTTTGGGAGGGTGTTCCAGAGGACACCATTCCAGAGCATGAAGCAGAGCTGGGGGAGATGCTGGAGGGTCCTACCCGAGCAGGACCTTGACAAGGTATGTAAGGCTAGGGGTCTGTGGAAGTCCACCACAGGCGTCCCCAGCCTGGAGCCACCCTGGCTCCAAAGCTTTGGGGACTTACACGATGTCCCTGCACAATGGCAGCTCCTCTCTCCATCGGGGGGGTCTTGCCTTCATGTGTCAAAAGTGACTCCTGTGTGTCTCCTACCTTCTGCAGAGGCAGCACCATGACCTATGTGGAGGCCAGCAAGGAGTCCAACAGCCTCTGGGAACTGCCCTCTCTCCACAGCCCAAGAGGGCAGGGCAGGAGTTCTACCATGTCCTTCAGCTCCCTCTCAGCACCACCCTGGCTTCAGGCCCAGGGCACAGGTGTCCCGGCTCTCCTGCTGAAGCTCACCTGTCCCCAGACTGGGTGATGAGCCGCCGGCAAGTCTCCATCTGCACATCCAAGCCTCGCTTCATGCTGCACATTTCCATGTACTCGTGGAGGTGCCGGTTCATGTCATTTTTGGCTGTGGCCAGTTCCAGCTGCTCAAGGGAAACGGTGCAGAGATTATCTCGGGGCATGTGGTGCAGGGCAGCAGGCATGGCCAGACCAAGGGCTGTCACCCACATTACCAGTGACCTGCTCCAGCATCCCTCCCCCAGGGACCCACTCCTCTATTTCACACCCTTCTGTGCCATGGTTCCCCCATTTCCTCCTCCTCCCACCTCTATTTGGTCGATGGTTTCCTGGTATTCCTTCTCACGGCTCTTGAACAGCGACTCCGTGTCCTTAATCACCTTTTCCAGGCTGTCATCCTGCTGCTGAGGAGAGCAGACAGCAGGTTTAGAGGCAGGGAAGCGTCCAACATGAGGAACCAAAGGCCAGAGAGAGACAAATCAGAGAAAGAACTGGCAGCACAGGGAAAAGAGGAAGAAATATATACAGTGTAGTACAAATAAGACAGGAGTCAGCTCGTCAACATGGACTCGAGAGACTCAGGACTCGCCACACCGGGCAGTGACCACATCAGCCCAAACAAGCCCAGCACTGCACTGAAGATCTGGAGAGCACAAACTATTCCTGAGCATCCCCAGGGGACTGCCAAGGGCCAAAGATTTGGGATGACAAGGGCTTTGGCCAGACACCAAGGCCCCTCTTCGGGCAGTTTTGCTGCACAGTGGGTAGGTGGGCTGGAGAACATGAGCAAGGATCACCAGAGACCAATCCAGCCAGAGGAAGTGTTCTGCTCTGGATGGGCTGTGGCTCTTCCCACATGTGGGCACCCCGCCCTCAGCACACCCCTCAGGCTACACGTCCCTGGCCTGTCTCTAAAAAGGAGATCTCAACAGGGATGCTGTAAGGTATTCATGCAGAAAAGGCAGGAGAGCATCTTGTACAGGCCTGCAGAGGGAAAGGGGCTGAAATCTGGTCTTTGAGAGAGCGTCTTCCCAGGCTGAGGCAGGATGAAGCATCCAACCCAACAAGACCTCAGGGCCCTGACACCACCGTTACCTCCCCCTGCACCTCTGCGGCTGCAATGGCGTATCCAGAGAAGTCCTCCCAGAGGAGCAGCGTTTCTTCTGTCTCCTCCCATGTGAGGCTGTCACAATCATCCTCAAAGTCATACTCCCTCCTGGGCACAAGGGAACAGCACGTCAGCATCCAGCAGGAGAGCAAAGCAGGCAGGGGGCTGTATTGGTGCCAAAGCCTTGCACCCACTCATGGGCAGGGCTGCAGCTCTTGGGGGTCTGGCCAGGTGAACTCAAGTGTGCCCAAACCCAACAGCTGATGGGAAAGGGGCTGGTTTTATGGTCAGGAGCTCCAGCAAATCCAAATTCCCAAAAGGCAGGAAGCAGGATGAGAGAAGGGGAGCTGAACCAGCTCCCACTCTGGGCATAGGTGGGCTCAGGTCTCCCAGGGGGTCAGTCCCACTGTGCCACAGAGCACAGGGTGACCATTCTCCACAGCAGCACCTCTCATCTCGCCCTCACCCGGGAAGGGAAGCCACAGACCACCCTTGCCCTCCCCATCCCAGGACCAGCAGGGAGCCTGCTGCTGGAGCCTGGCTGGACACCATGGGCAGAAGTGCACAGCAGCTGCACTCACAGCTGGTTCAGCATCCTCTGCATTTCCTCATTGATACTCATGGCCGTGGTCTCGTCCTCCTCCTCCTCGTCAGGTTTTCGGGAGGCATCGCTCTCCGACAGCGAGGTGTCCTCGTCGCTGACCTGCTTGCGCTCCCGCTTCCGCCCCACCGAGGCTGGGACCTTAACGGGAGACAAGTGCAGAGACTACAGAAACGAGGCCGGGTCCGAGGTCAGGAGCAGGTAGTGGGGAGGAGATGGAGGGGAAAGGAATGGTGGAGGGACAGAAAGGCAGGGAAAGAGAGAAAGACAGAAAGGAAGGAAGAAAAGAAAGAGAGAGAGAGAGAGAGATGGGCTCGTTATGATCAGGTTAAAGATGGGTGCAATGGATAAAACATGGTGTTAGCATTTTCTAAAATTAAAACTAAGCAACTAAAGATGGAATCTATGAATTTGATGAGAAAAAAACAATGTGGTTTTACTGCAGAAAAACTCAAATCACCCACCACCCCAGTCCAGAAACAGGGAAACACAGTGACAGAAACAGGAAAAAAGAGACAGTCTGAAAAAGGTGAAATATGTCAATATTTATAGGCCGACCTTTTTTAAAGAAAGTTTAGAATTTTTTAAATTTCTCAACTGAATGGAACTAACCAGTTGCTTCTGTAGGGACAAAGAGCGAGACAGAAAGGCAGCAACATCCAGAAAGAGAAAAGAGACAGAGACAGAGAAGAGAGACAGAGAGAAGATGACGGAGAGGGGAAGGGAAAGGAGAGAGATGGAGTTAGAGACAGACACTCAAGCACCTTGTCTCCCTCCTGCAGCTGTTCCCCTAGCACTGTGGGGTCCCCGGGCCCAACACAACAGGTCAGCAAGAGCCTGAGGGAACTCTTGATGTCCAAAGCAACATCTGGAGCTTTCCACCTCCACTCTGTGCCCTTTAGCCTGGTCCTCCCAAGAGAGACAGAAAGCAAGGGACCAGAAGGAGCAAGGGCGAGGGTGACCAAGCGTCTCCCATGGCAGGGGGCTGGTGTTGTCTCTTCTACCTCCTCTTTTGGGATCTCTCCTCCCCAGAGCTGGTGGCTGAGTCGGGAGCAGCAGCGGGCGCTTCTCACCTGAAACATCTTGATCATGTCCTCGCAGTTCCGCTGCTGTGCCACATCACACAGCTTGGCAGTGATGTCGATGCGACGGCAGATGTCCATGTCCACCTTCATGGCCTTCTCCTGGATCTTGGTGTCCAGCTCCGTGATGTTCTGAACCCACGGCACCACAGGAAGGGGACAAGGGAGGAATATTAGGCAAGAGAGATGGCAATTGGTGCCCCCACGTTCCCCCTCATGCAGGACTGCTCCCTCATCCCTGCTTTGCTCACTGTGCCCCAGACCAACCCTGCCAGTGCTGGACGGGCCCCACCATGAAAACTGCTTTTCAACACAGCTGCACCACGTGGGTAGGACACTGCCGTGGGGTTGGAGAGGGATTAGGGACTCACATTGCTCATCAGTCCCTTGAAGACAACAAGCTCTGCCTTGAGCTGCTCCACCTTCATGGCCAGCTCTTCCTGGCAAGCTTCAGCCTCCTGGGCTTCCTGCGCCAGGGCGAGAGAGATGTGCAAATCAGCACCAGTGTGGGGCAGCCGGGGTGCAGGGAAAGGGGGAACAGCAAGGCTCACCTCCTGCAGCTCAGTCACCCGATCCTGAAGCTGGACACGCACCGTGTACTCCTCTTCCCATCTAGGGAGACAAACGCCAGTCAGATCCCATCGGCCTCGCCTCGCTGGCTGCCAAAGGGAGAGGACGGAGCGGCAGCTGCTCACCCCAACGCTATCCGAGAGGGGGGGACAGCAGCACCGGGGCGGGAAGGAGAACGTGCCCAGGAATGCAAGGCCTCTTGTTTTCAGGCCATGGCAGCTGCCGAGCCCATCGGCCCCCCTGGCCACAAACGCTGCCCCAGCACGGCCATGGGGGGAGCTGGGGACACCGGCCGCAGGCTCTGCACGGCAGCTGGGCCGCGCGGCCTGCCCATGGCCGTCACAGCCCACCGGCCTCTCCCTCCGGCCCTGAGGGCTCCGACCCTCAACAACAGCTCTGCGGATGGATTGCAGAGTTGCCCCCATCTGCACGGTTTTTTGCTTCTGTGTGTCTGCGGCGCCGCAGTTTGGGCTGTCCAGAAGCACAAACCCCGATCCTGACAGCAGACCCCCTCACAGTGTGAGTGACCACGACGTGCACCGAGGGCTGCTCTTCTGCCTGGCCCAGTGCAGAGGGCTGCCCTGGGCCAGGCCACGCTGCCTGGCCAGGGGCACAAGATCCTCGGCTCTACTGCTGCGTGACAGGTTGGATTAAAGAACACTGTGTCATCCCACAAGGAAGCAGGATGGATTGTGCCACTTCATGCCGGGATGTCCGGTGTGTATTGGGCTCTGCAGCTTTGCAAAAAGCAGAGCTGCAAGGCGCCCAGCCTTGCTGTGCAAAGACACATCCCCTAGCAATTATTATATTATATTTCACTGCATGAGATCAACCTCTTGGGTCTTGCTGCAGTGCTGGCCCAGCCCACGGTCTGCTGGGAGGCCATCAAGCCGTGCTGCTCTTGGCCAAATGATGATCCCATAGAGCAGGGGGGGTGCCATGTGCTGCGGTGCGGCGTGGGGCAGGGCTGCTGCATTCTTACCCAGCTCCTGGCTCTTCTGGAAGAGCCAGGTTTTTCTGAAAAAGTGAGATCATTCTGGGATAGCAACCAGAGCTGAGCTCTTCCTGGTGATGTGAGGTCTGGTTTCTATTTAATGCCTGCAAGCACCAACACAGACACTCCGACTCTGCACAAGGATGTGAAAAATCTCTCCTCTCACTTACCCACACCAAGTTTGAACAATAAATTCTAAGGTCTAGGAGGCCAGAAAGCATATGAAAAGCCCTCACATTTGTTATCTCGAGGTATCTGGACAATCTGACGACGTGGGAGAGCACTGGCTTGTGAATTTCTAAGCTCTTAAAGCTAGCAATGCTGCTCCTTACTCAAACAAGGATAAAAGTGTGCACTCCTTGTGCTGGTGTTGGATCCGTACCACAGCTTCAGAAGGGGAATCAAAGAGTGTTCCCATCCCTTTGGGGAAAGGGACATGAAGGGAAAAGAAAGGAGAAAGTTAAAAGGTAGAATTGCCCTTATATGGGAACTGCTCAAACAAAGCCTCCCTCCCTAGGGACAAAAAATGCCTTCCACCAGAATAAAAAAATTTCAGCATCTTTCTTGGTGTGGCACTGCCTCTTTTTTGGTCCCCGCCTCCCTCTGGGTCCCTATAAAGCCCAGACTCACTGGGGACATAAAGCATAGCTGCAAATCCTGAGTTCATTTCACACCAATGCTGTGGAAGACGAGTGCAGGTCACATACACACCGGCTTAAAAGGCAGGAGAAAACAGCAATTCACCCTACCAGGGACAAATCCACGCACCCATGCACTGCAAACCTCTCTCCTGCCTGGCTCCTTCTCCCCTGCTCCCTCCTGCAATGCACCACTCCTAATAATAGGAGTGGTGCAGCACTGCGTCCGCAGCCGCCGCCAGGTCGCTGCCAGCTGGAAGCAAGGCTGCCCCGCACAACCCCACGGCCACCGGTGTGCCAGGGGGAGAGGGAAGGTCCTCCCTGCACTGCTGCAAAGCAACAGCCTGCCCAGAGGCAGACAGCGAGGGCAGGAGGGTCCCAGCTGCATGCAGACCTGACCATCTCCTTGCCAGCTAGGGGACAGCTCAACCAAAGCCAGAGGTGTGGAAAGATGCAGTGCTGTCCCTGCCAGGTGTGTCCCTTCAACAAGTTCACTTAGAAAAATCAACAATTCCCCCATTTTTAAAAATCCTGCTCACTGCCACAGGCACTGGGGTGCTTTACCCCATCCTGCAGGGTCAGTGCACACTGGGGCTTTGGGCTGCTCGGGGCCTTATCCTCAGGAAAGCTCCATTTATTCCCCCTCCTGCCACATCTGAACTATGCTGGAGCTCACGTCAATGGGGATGGCCCTGCAGCCTGGCACAGCTCCTCAGAGGGCAATTACAACAACAAAAAACCTTCCTGAAGCACTTTAATAAACAAGGGGCCTTATAAGAATGGAACGACTTTGTACCAGACCTTTTGCCTGCAGTGACAAGAGGTGATGTTTTAAACTGAAAGAAGGTAAGTTTACACTGGACATAAGGAACAATTTTTTATGATGGTGGTGAGATACTGGAGCAGGTTGCCCAGAGAAGTTGTGGATGGCCTATCACTGGAAATGTTCAAGGTCAGCACTTTGAGCAACCTGATCTAGTGAAACCTCACAGCAGGGAGACAGGAGTGGGTAAACCCCTAAAGGTCTTCTCCAACCCAAACCATTCTGACTCTAACACACCGTGCTGTAGCACTGCTCACTCCACACCTCCAGTGTGTCCTTGCAACATCCATAACTACTTGTGGATACAAGGAGTAGGTGTAGCAGACAGCACAAACCTGATGAGACTCTCAGATCCCCAGCACTTAGCAGATCTGTGTGATACTCACAGGCATCCTTTGCCCCTATCCAGGCCACCCAATTTCAATCTGCTCCTCTCAAGTGCAGCTCCTGTGAGCCTCCTTCCTGCTGCTCCAAGTATTCTCATACCTCTCCACAGCCCTCCTGGATCCCTGACTTGAATTCTGGCCCTGTGTATCCAGAGAGAAGCTCCTGCTGCACTGCTCCAAGTGCTGTGGGGCGCACAGAAGCAATGCTGTCCTGATAAAAGCTCAAAAGCTTCAGCACCCAAGCCATGGGTAAGAGAACTGGGAAGTCCTGTGTTAATATGGCCTCTTCCATCTGTCTCCAGGCAGGTGGCAAATGCATGACACCAGCTGCACTGTCCCCATGGCAGATCACAACCCACTGTGGCAGGGAACTCTCAGCTCCCAAGGGATGTTGGTGTCAGCCCACAGCATGGAGAAGGGTGTGGAAATGGAATCCTTCTGTCCCATTCCCCTGTTTGGGACCTGGCTGTACCCGTCAGAAAGTTCCCAGTCCTGGATAGGGTCCGGGGTGGGGTCTGCTTTCCCCCAGCTCCTGGTAACACACTCCAAAAATAGATCCCACCAATAACATTGGCTGATAGCAGCTTGTGGTGCCCCCCCATCTCACCCACAGCAGTCCCTCTGTCACCCCCTCTGCAGCCTTCCCTGAAGCTCACTTGCCAGAGCAGGAAAACCCTGCAAAGCTCTCCATTCCCCCCAAGTTTCAGCAGCACCAACAAACCCAACTTGGTCCTCTCTGGCTGACCCACTTTGAGGCTCAAGCTTTCCTGGCCAAAAAACTGGCTCCAGCTTCCCACTCTCTGATCTGAAAATGCAATGCAAGGAGTGCTGCTCTCCTCTGAAGAAAGAGCCTGACCACTGGCTTAATAACAAAAGGCCTTAGGTACATGCAGCAGTAGGTGGCAAAGAAGAGATGCCAAGTCTTCCTTTCCACGTGCCTTGCTCAGTGCCTCCACAGCATCTGACAGGCAAGTTTGCTCAGCCTAAGCCTTATAAAGCCAAAAACATAAGGTGTCATCTTGGACCCCAGCCTCGATCCTGGCACTGGAGCCCATGGCTGTGCAGAACCAGTCAGTGGCATAGCTCCTATGGGGAGTTGGCTGTGGAATCACAAACTTTCTAAAGCGTCATAGCGTGACTTCTGAAAAAACCCCAAAGCAGTGGCTCGGGTGGTGTCAGTCGCCAGTGACGCTCTCGCCCGGCCCTGTGCTCTGACCCCACAATGCCAGCCCAGCCTGATCTCATCCTACGTGCGGATCCGGGAGAGGCCTCGGAAACTGGCCTGACACAAAGCAAGGGGCGAGAGCAGCGGCCACCCTGCACGGGAAAGAAGAACCGGCCAAGAGATTAGCTTTGCATTCTGCTTCACCCTTCTCCTAGGCACATGCCAAGCCACAGCTATTTTGGGTCGGGAGGAAAGCCCCCGAGGAGTGGGGTGTCCTGCCTCGGCTCTCTGCTGCTGAGGGCCAGCTGGAGAGCACTGGCCAGGGAAAGGGCCTAGGAGAGGCCAGCCACGCTGCTGAGGGGCTTCTCGACACCTTCCGACACATCCAGAGAACTCCTTCCTTCCCAGCAGCCTTCTCCAATCCAAACCCGCTCACTGCTGCATGTCCACCTTCCTCACCTACTTTCAGGCTGCTCCTCCTTCCTGAGAATTCCCAGATCCCCTTGGCTTTAAAACACAGCTCCTGGAGTTATTCCTTCCCTGCCTGGAAAAGCATTTCTAGTCCCTCACGCCAGGTTGGTAAGATGGAGAAAGGCTCAACAAACATCCCGAGAGGATTCGCACACCGGCTGGCAAGGGAGGAGACCCAGGCACAAACAAATGCTTTCAGGGGTGCACATTTTTCCTCATGCTGCCTGCAGCCCGAGAAGTCTGGCGAGGACCGTCGCCTTCCCTCCCTGCTTCCCCCTCACATCGCGCACCGGGCAGAGCCCTGCAGCCTCCCCGGCGACAGTTTCGGTGTCCCGGGGAATGCCGCTGGTGCCCGTCGCTCCCGCCGCCCCTTCTCACCTGCGCTTGTACTCGTCGCGCTCCCTCTTCACCTTGGCCAGCACGTTGTAGAGCGCTCGGATCTCGGGGGTGATGGTGTCGATCTGCACACCCACCCCGTCGGGATGGACCCAGGAGACGCCCGGTCCCTGCACCAGGGTGGTCTCGGGCCCCGGGCCGAGCCGCCGCGCTTGCGAGAAGGACCAGATGGTGCCGGGCATGAAGCGGGAGCCGGCCGAGTAGGCGGAGGGCTGCCCGGGACCGCCGGGGCGGGAGCCGGGGGACCCCAGCGCCCGGGCCGAGCCCAGCCCCAGTCCCGGCCCCAGCCCCAGCCCCAGGGTGCGGATGGGACCCACGAAGCCGGTCTGCACCGCCTGGTCCCGGCGCGGGGGTCCGCGGCCGCGGCCGCCCGCCCCCTCCTCCAGCGCCTGCTGCAGCTGCTTCTCCAGCTGCCGGTTGCGCCGCTCGAGCTCGTGGACCTTGGCCAGGAAGCAGCGGAACCGCAGGTTCAGCGTCTTGAGGACGCTGATGTTGGAGCCCAGGTCGTTGCGGAGGGCCATGGCGGCGGGCGGCGCGGGGAAGGGGCCGGCGGGCGGCTCCCCGGACAGGGGCTCGGCGGCGGGCGGCGGCGGCAGCTCGGGGCCCGCCAGCCCCTGCTGCTCCTGCGGCAGGAGGAAGAGGTTGGGGCCGAAGAGCGGGTTCATGGCGGCGGCGGGACGGGGCGGGGGGATGCGGCGGCGGAGCCGAGAGCCGCCGCCGGCCCCGGGCGGAGCGAGCAGAAGAGGGGACGCGGCAGAACCTCCCTTTCCTCTGCCGGCTCCCGCCTCTCCCCCCGTCGAGGGGCGGCTCGGCCTCCCCGGGGGGTTTCGGGGCGCCCCGGGGCGAAGGGACGCGGCCCGGTCCAGCAGGATTCCCCGGAGGGAAGTCCCTCTCCGGCACCGCTAGCTGAAGCCCCGCCTGTTACTGATTTCCGTAACTAGCCCAGCTGCAACACAGTGTGCTTCTGCCTCCTTTTAATTTTTTTTTTTTCCATAGAATTTAGTGCTGCCCCCCTTAAAGAAGGCATAAGTTCGCCTCTGCACCCCAAACCCTGTCGTTGTCCTCTCTGGAGCCCCCCAGGACGGCCCTGCCCCTGCTGTGCCCCCAGCCCGCCTACGGGCTGGACAATGGCGAGCCAGCGGGCCGAGGAGGCTGTGTGGAGGCAGCCTCTCAGATACCGTGCTCGGCTTGCAGCCGGCCTCCTCCTTCCTTGTTCACAAAGCAGCCTCGGGTCTTGCTCCATGTCCCTTCTTTTAGCCTTCTTTAGGTCATTGCCTCTTACCCCGTGACCCCGACCCCAGGTGAATTCTGCAGAAAGCGCTGGCGTCGCCCCTCACCCCATTATCCGGTGGGAGGAGACTGCGCACAAATCGATCGCTACGTAAATATTTTATGGATGTGGACACCTGTGTTCCCTTGCTGTCTGCGTGCTCCTAGCCCGTTCCCCCAGGACTTGAGGAGCTGAGCCGAGTGTGGCACTTGCGCAAAGCGGCCTCGGATGTCTCACTGAGCCATCGGCAAGGGGTGAGCGAGCAGTGGGTTGGAATTCAGAGAGATGCTCAGCACCACACTGTGCTGAGCTCTCTGGAAGGAGCTGGGCATGCTCCAGTGGGGCAGTGTGCTACAGCCCTTCCCTTGGGATCAAAGGCATGGCTCAATCCACAGTGCCAGGAACTTGCCGGCTCCACTGAGGATGGCCAGCTTTGTGAGTCTTGACTGAGAGTCTGCCTATTTTATGTTCCCTGCTGCTTCTTCTCCAGGGCTACAGGTCTCCTCCATCCCTCCATTACTCTTCTGCCATCCTGACCCGGGAGAAGTCCAAATCAAATCTGTTCCTCTCTCGGGCCTTGCTGTGTCCAGCATCAGTTATATCCTGTGGCCTATATCCCCTGTCCTGCCCACGACGCAAGGCTCCCCAGAGCAGCCCCCAAGTGCATTTATAATACTTCCTCTCCCACCAGTAACCATCTGCATCCTCCCTGGCACACCCATGACCACTGAAGCTCAACTGGATTTCAGTCCCTCCAAGATGGGCTTGGTTTGGGGAAGAAGTGAGCTTTTCTGTCACCTCCTTTTTAATGCTTTTCCTCTTCTCAAGCAGATGTTCCTTTGCTCTTCCTCTGACTAGGGAGTCTGAGCAGTGGCAAGCAGTGCTTTTCTCCAGGGAGTGGAGGGCAGGAAGGTTGTCCTCATGGGCAGGCAGAAGAGATTCCCATCTTCCAAAAATCAGTGCTGCAACAGCAGCTGGTAGGGAGCAATGTGCCTGGCAGCAATGCCACCAAATAAACACCCAGGGAAAAGAGAAGGACAGATGGACAAGAGGGATCCCAGTCAAGAAGCTTGTTTTGAAGCAGCAGTGACAGTTCCAGCTCAGAAACCTCCCAGCATGTGACTTTCAGCCACTGCTGACTCCCTCCTTCCTGCTGCCACGTCCTGTCACCCGTCCCCCACGCTGCCACAGCCTGCCTGCTTGCCTGGCAACCCGTGCCTTCTGCCACATCCTCCCCTCTCACACACTCCTGGTTTTACTCCTCCATACCCTTGCACCTGGGAAAGCAAGGTCAGACTGGGGGGATCTGCTGCTGCAGTGGAGAGCATGGGCAACACCACAAACTGTGCAGCAAGTGCTTTCCTGAGCTCTGCCTCTGTCCGGCTGGGGAAACCCAGCAAGTGGAGCTGATTAATGAAATGCCAGTGGAGGAAGGCATTGCCATCCATCAGGAAAAGCTTTTTTTACCAGCAGGCCAGCACAGCACTGGAGCAGGTGGTGGGATCTCTCTTTGTGGTGGTTCTTGGGGCTCAGCTGTGCAAATCCAGTGATGTGACCTAGTGCCAGGACAGCCCTGCTTACAGCAGGGACTGGGCTACAGACCTCCAGCACCTCTTCCCACCAGCTCTCCTGCTGCCTCCGGGACAGGAGGCAACGTGGAGCCTCCTTTTTTCTCTAACTTCGTTTGCTTAGGATACTTGCTGGAGTAAAGGATTCCTACTGATGCAGAAGATTACTGGGGCAAAGGGACAAATTATTCTACTTATTCCCGCAGAAGCCCAGAAGCTGGAGACAATCCTGGTACCCAGAGCACTCCTCCTCTGGGCCTCAATCTCACTACGGCTCACAACAGCTCCTGCTCCTCATCTTCCCCTCTTGGGTCACCTAACACCTGCCACCTCTCCAGACCCTCCCACTGCTCCTGCTCCCTCTTTATCAGCTCACGGTCAGCAGTGGCACTGCTGGACTGCAGCTGCTGACATGCAGAGCTGCTTGTTACAGCCCTTAAAATCATTCCTGTAGCCAGTGTGAAAATAGACACTTGCAAACGTAGTATTTATCTTCCATGGATTTTAAGGCCAAGGAAGAAGCACTGCATTTTCTGACCCTGTGCAAAACAGACAGTGCAAATTCCTGTAGTTCAGATCAGGTACTCCTGTGGGACTCTGTCTCTAATTGCTGACAGTGCAGTGAAAAGAGATTAAGCCTCTACCACTATCCTCCATGGGCAAATCAAGGTAGGTTTCCCAGCTGCAAACCTCTATTAAAGTCACCTGTCGCCTTTGCATTTGCCCAGCTGTAACATCCATTACCAGGCTGAGATGCTCCTCCTCTCCCAGATCTCAGAAGCTCTTGGTAGCTAGCACACCCTCCTTGCAAAGGTACTTCATAGGTGAAACCTGTCCAGATCAGCTCCACAGCTTTCACAGAGGCTCGTTTTGGAAGGCATAGGTCTCCTTGGTGTGTCTGTACCCCATCTCCCCGCCCCCCTTTTCCCCATGTACCTCAGTGGTACCTCCTCCCTTGCTCAACACTGCCAAAGTATTTCTGTGTAAACTCTCAAGTCTTCCAGCTTCCAAGATTCTTCACTAAAACTGATCCATAAAATTGTTTCTATCCATAACCAGAGGGAGGTGTTGCAATGCACACACGACTTTTGGGCCTAGCAAAGTCACCAGCCCAGTCAGCTGCCTGGATTTGAGTGCAGATGTGGAGAAATGGGTGCAGAGGAGCAGTTGCCAGCAGCAGCTAGGTGATCGCCACACGTAACACACAGAAATGTTCCTGTCTAACAGCAAAGGAGGGCATGCATTTTCTTCTAAAAATACACAAACAACAGTCCAGGAGGGAGTTTTGAAGCCAGGTTTTCATGAGAAGGCAGCTCTAGGCAGTACTAGAGCCTGGGACCCAACAGATTTTACCTTCTCAGTGGTACTCCAGACTCCATCAGGCAAGTGGGACTTGCAGACATCCTCCTCAGGAGCTCTCCACACCTCCCTAGCAGGGATGGACAGCTGGGGGAGCAAGATCCACTGATGGCTCTTGGGCCATTTGTGGATTCAGCCCCTACAAAGGTGTCTGTATCTCTGGGTGTTACGTGCAATGCAGTGTGTGCACGACGATCCAGATTTCATACCCTAGTCCCTGAACAGTGCAGGGCAGGATTTCAGCCCCTTGCTCAGGATACAGGCGGACATGAGGCAACGCAGCCAGAGCAGACATTACAGCACATGACATCACTGGAGTCAGTGACTGACCCTGTCACCGCTGCAGTCTCTTCTCTTTCCATTACACACTCCTGTCCCCAGAAGTCTTCACTTTCCTTCCTGCAGCACCCCAAGGTTGCAGAGCCTCTCCCTCCCGGTGTGCAGAGGGGAGCTGCTGGAGCCTGCAAGGCAGGAGCTGCCAGCTGGCTGTCTTCGTTGTGCCCTGATAAGGCTTCTCCAACAGACTCCCAGTCTGGGGAGAAGGACGGCACGCAGCACAGTGGAACAGATATCACGACTGCTCTCAACAAGCTTTTAATCTGTGACAGCATTTTTGCCCCTCAGATCTGCTTTCAATCCTTGCTCTGCCTCAGTTCTTGCTTTGCTCTGTCTCAGCTCCCGCAAGCCTCGTTATCAGCAGCTTTCAGATATTAAAACACATTAAAGGAAGGTACTGAAAGATGATCCAGCAGTCACATTCTCCAGAAATCTCAGCTTTCAGGTAACAAAAGATTCCCAGAGTAAGGAGGTGGCTGCAAGCACAAGCCTAATGTGACCACAGCCTGGTACCAGAATGCAGAGGAAACCACCAAGCTTTGTCCCCAGCTGCTGCATCCCCAGTACCGCCTCTGAAGCTCAATGGTGGCATTTCAATGTCACACTCAACATTATCTCTCTGAACAGCAATAACTGCAACAGCTGAAATCAAGAGCAGGAGATCAAACCACCAAAGAGAGATGAAAATTTATCCCATCTCTTCCCAGCTATAACAAAAGGTTTGCAGGCATGCCAAGTGATTGGAACAACGCTCAGCAAGAGAGAAATTTTCTTGACACACTTAAAGCAGTGGTTATTCCTGCATTTCAGGGCTGAAATTCCACCATAATTTGGACATTTGCTGGAAAACAGACAGTTAACTTGGGATTCCAGCCAGGAAAACTCCATCCCTGCTGATGGGGTTATCAGGATGAACTGGATCTCAAGCTGAGGCTGCACACTCACATGGTTACCTCAGCAGGCAGCAACAACACGGGACAGATCCGCATTGCTCCCGAAAGGACAGGCCCAGGGCTTAAAGAGGCTCTCGCTGCTTTTCTCACTAAAACTTACGGTGCATTTGTCTTCTCTGAACATTTCCCAGTTTACAGCGTTTATGCAGATGGGGGGTACTAAAAAATGCAATATTGAATCAGTAATTCTTTCC